CAAAGCTGGAAATATGGAGCTTTATTCCGCCACTACCAAGGAAACTCCTGCCAAGCTAGGTTTCAGACCCAGTTTCATTTTCTAGTTAAACGGCTAATTACTCACTCGACATGTCGATAAGTTGACTATTCTGCGAGCATGTTGTAAACCGTTTTCTTTTGCAGCAACTGGAAGCCAGCCTGAATGAAAGCGGGTTGAAGTGGACCCTTAATCCGGCTGATGGGGCATTCTACGGACCGAAAATAGACGTCACCATATGCGATGCTCTCAAGCGACGTCATCAGTGCGGTACCATTCAACTCGACTTCCAACTGCCTGAGCGCTTTGATCTTACTTACCAGACGTAAGAATTGCTTGTTTGCCTTCCGAACCGCCGCCATAATCTTTCATCAAATATTTGTTACCGGGGTCTGGATTGTTTCGCTTGTCAGCCTAATTATGCCCAAGAAGACGTAAAAAACATAAAATCTGACCGAAGTTTACACCGGTGCTTTTAAGTTGGCATAGCCCTGGCGATCTTGCCTGCGACAATCCGTGCACGCAAATATACTATTGAATGCGACTTGTGTAAATTACCATTGGGGACGCCCGCATTCTTACTACCCGCCAGTCTCACAGAAAAGTACGTAATTTGCTCTTAAATGCGTACATTAAAGGACTTTTTGAACCCTTTTCTTCAATCAATAGCAATACACGATGTCATTTTTGCGACATCTTGGCACTTATTTGAAATATCATGAAACTTTGCCACGTAATGCTCGATATTACAACCCCACTTCAGTAGTCCTTCCTGTCGAAAGCGCACTTCAGTTAGCATTCGTTGAAGGCTGTCATTGCTTGTATCGCTTCGTGTGTACCACGAAATCTTTTAATTAATTGCTGTGCCTCGAATGAAGCTCCTGGAACCCTGACTGCGTTTGGGGCGTGGTTTAGCCATCATGCAAATTAACATACTATACACCCGAAGACTAGGTTCAAGATGGAAATGGAGCAGTATAGCAATTTGCCCTTCTTAGACATCTCCCTCTTTCGAAAAGATGATGG